GAAACCCAATCTCTATTTGACAAGGTTGAGTATCCTGTTTGCGAATTATGGGAATGTATCGAAAAATTAAACTTAATTGTTCTTTTCTAGATATGTCTTGAGTTGTGTCAACTATAATAGCAAAAAAAAGCAGATACATTTGTTTCTAATAATAATGTTTTTTCTAAATTTTGACTTAAACATTGAATCAATTAATTTTGCATAGCTGGACTAAGATATTTTAAAGTACCTTTAGGCTTATTGAGTACTTGTTTCATTGTATCGTCGCACTTTGACAGCAAATAAACATGAGACAAAAAATTGTATTATTTTGTAAATCGCCTAACACTTCACTATGACCTCTAAATGCAAGTGAGTTTTTTGTTAACATTAATGTGATGTTAAATAACCTTTCTAATACCATCTTCCATAATCAAGCTTTATGACGAATTAATGTCTCTTTATCCTCATTAAGTGTCCTATTTTGTTTCCAATGATCGTATACTTGACATAGTTCAATATGATTTAGGCTATTAGCATGACTTTTTATTTTTTTACTTAGCCCTTTCCAGTTTCGAACTCCCGAATGCCATTGGTTCTTTTTGTCATTTGAAAATAACCAACATGGTTCACAATATGCTGAGTCCAGAATTTCAGAATAACAAAGCCAAAATCGCTGTGTTTGACGAAATTTATATGCACAATAATAATAATTTGTGGAAAAATGTCTACAATTTTGTGAAGGATCTTTTTTAAATGGTCTTTGTGGTTTACATCTTTCAGAGGAAATAATAAATCTTTTTGTGCAATCATCAAGAAATTTTCCTTCAAAATATCCCATATCTGTTGTTAACGTCGGGGAAAGCGGGGCAACATGGCGAACGTTTTGAAGGCCCTGAGTTATTGCAAAACTATCAGTCGTGAAGCAATAATACTTTCTGAGTATGTTTATTTTATTAAAATGATTTATTGACTGCATGAATTTTCCGTTCGCAAATATAACAATTTGAAATAAATAATAAAATAAAAAGGTCATAAATTTGTCATCTAGTCACGTGACCGGGGCAAGATGACATTATTACTTAAATTTTACCTCCAATTTTATAAAATTTTAAAAACTACCCATAACTCTAACTAAAGTAACAAAAAATAAACACAAATCAACAAAAACTACTTCTAGAGAAGTTAAACCTGAAGAACACCATCCATTATAAGAAACCGAAAGTGAGGAATTTATTTTTAAGCGCAAAAAGTTAACTTATGCGTATAAAACTGCGTTAATAATATTTTAAAAAAGCAATTGGTGTTTTAAAATACAAAATGTAAATACAGTTTCGTTTTCATCCATTTTTAAGATTTTTTGTTGAGTTGTTATATGAAAACCCATCTTGCCCCATTCACCATGTTGCTCCGCTTTCCCCTATTTAACTCCTGAAATATATTCGGTCCTGGATCTGTTTTTTCAAACTTGCATTGCAGTGGTAAGATGTTTTGGATTTGCGAAAATATCTGCATTACTTTCATAATGAGATTCATTATGATCTTTTGAAATTTCAATTTGTTCTAAGTCAATTGAAACAGATAACATTTCTTCTTGTTGGTTTGCTCGGAAAGTACTAGTAACGACATCAACATTTTTATCTGCAACTACTTCACTAGGTTTCTGTTCTACTGATGAAAAAAATAAGGATATCTTTTTATTGTTTTTACTTAATCTATCATTAGCCTCCTTTTTTAATTTTCTTTTTCTGGCTCAACTCATATAAGTTCTTTTAGAGTCCATGCTATTGTAAGAAAAATATTTTATTAGAACAGTTATATCTTACAGTTATATATATATATATATATATATATATATATATATATATATATATATATATATATATATATATATATATATATATATAGATATATATATATATATATATATATATATATATATATATATATATATATATATATATATATATATATATATATATATATATATATATATATATATATATATATATATATATATATATATGTATTGCTAAATATTTTTGAATAAATAATAGACTTAATTCGTATTTATTCTTCAGTTCGTATTTTGAGTCTACTCTTTTAATTTTATAACAAATATGTGCACATAATTTGTGTTTCTTTGTTAACTCGTACTAAAATCTAGTGCGTACAAAAGTTTTGTACGCACTTGATTTTGTTACAAAACCTAGTGCGTAGTCCATTAATTACGTCAACAAAATAGGGGGGAGGGAGGGTCTGAACTTTTATTTTTGACAGTTGTTGACAAGGGGGAGGGGGGAGGTCAATCAAAGTTGATGTCAACTATTTTTTTTTTTTTTTTTGAGTTTCATCGCTTAAATAACGGAAAATTTGTGGCGTAGCTTCTTTATAAAGGGCGGGGGGGGAGGTTAATCAAAAATTGACGTAATTTTAAAGGGGGGTCTCTGGAAATTTGACAAACTGTTGACAAGGGGGAGGGGAGAAGGTAAAAATTTCAAAAAATTTGTTAAAGTAATCAATGGACAGCCCCTAAACACAAAATAAAATAGAATGAAATTGCAAGATTTAACAAGCAGTTAAAATATATTACCAATACTATAAATATAACTAGTTTATTACATATTAGCTAAACATTTTGATAACTCAACTTATCGTTATGAAAATTATATTTATATGATTTTTACTGCTATGCATGAATGCATATAAAAAGAAAAGCACTTATCTTCTAAACAATATTTAATAATATATACTTAATATTCCACTTCAAAATCACCAAACTTTTTTTTTAACGTTTTTAACAGTTTACAAATTTTTAGACGTCAACTAAAAGTTTTTTCAACGTTAAGAAATTCTAAACGTTCTAAATTAGAATGTAACTTTTTTAAAAAAATGCCCGTAGGAATACGTGAAAAAATATAAATTCATAAAATGTATTTGATAAAACAGAAATTAGAAACACTCATATTATTATTACGAGTCATGTTATTCATATGAGTAAAATTTTTAAATCTCCGCGGGGCCCTCTAAGCTCCGGAGCCTTCCCCCCCCCCTTTTTTTAGCGTCCAGAAGTCTAATACTGGTCGTACTTTTCCTTTATTTCGTTGCACCACTGCCATGAGAGGAATCAAACCCTTTTTTCAACCTTGTTTCTTTGAATCGTACTTTTGCAGCCATTTTTTTTTTCTATCCACCCTTTAATTTATTTTTCGTAATTGTGTTTTATACCAACAAGGATAGTGTATGCAGCAATCTTATACACAAAAGTTTCAGGTTGAGAATTGTTATTCCATTTTCATGCAACTATTCATTCTTGATTTTGTTTCTTAAATAAAGCTGTGAAATCCCGAGCTATTATATTCAAAGTGCTGACATCTATTAGCATAACACTTCTTGGTCCAAGAAAATATAATTCGTTTTTTCCTAAGAGAAAAACATCACGATTTGCAGATGTTATTACTACACTAAGAGCCACTATTTCATTCATACCCATCAAGAAACAATAATTAAGTGATTTGAAGTCAACTACAAGTGCTTCCACAAAAACTTCGTTGTTGTTATCCATTTACAGTTACCAAGCTAACTTCTTTCTTCGTAATATTTGTCGCACATTTTTATAAATGATGCAGCAAGTACATTATGAGTCAATCAACACATCCCTAAGAACATCGTTAATGTCTTAGCGTATAGTAGGTAAAGCCATTAATGATTGTTTAGGGAGAGCTGGCGCACACATCTTGTCCATCAGTGCGTTTTTCGGACACATTCTTGATATGTTTGAGTACTCCTAAAACGAGTAACACAAAAACAACACTTGTCTCCCGTCTTCGACCTGACTTGTTTTGCTCACTATTTCTTCGTAGATGACAATCTCTTGAAAAACGATATAGGAGTTTACACTCATAGCAAACTGATTTTGTTTGATCTTCCAGCAACTCTGACTCAGCACGTCTTCTTGTTGCAGCAGCTTCAAAATTTTCACTCGTGCCATTGTTTCGTTCTTCAATCATTAGTGCTCTAATTAATTGCGCAAATATTTGTATAGTAGTAAGATCATTCATACAAAAACTTGATCTCAGCATCCGTCGAACTTCCTCAGGGAAGCCTAGAAACAAATACACATCTACTTGCTCTGTCTGGTAGCCCACCAATTAGCGTAGATAATTCTTACAGTTTTGCCAAATAAACATCAACTGCCTGTCCATGCTTTAGCTTTCTCGTAATAAACTGTTCGTAAGCTTTAAAAGCATTAATGGCAAATGCTTTTAGCAACGTCTTTTTTATCTGATCAAAATCTTCTTTACCAGTTTTTAAAACTGTTGATATACAGCAAATACACCCTTCGTGAGAGGAACAACACTCGCCAGATCGGTTACACCAATTAGTGAGCGTAGCAGTTTAACTTTTTCGAGCCATTCTGCAACTGATTGTTGACTTTCAAACAATTTTTGTCGATATTTTTTTGCCGGAATAGCTTGTTGTTTCACATTAAAAAAAAACTTTATAAGTTAAGCATAAAACGCCTAATGTATCTTAATGAAATTTAACATAATTTATATGTAAACTAATTATCTTGATATTTATAATTATGTCTTCATATTATATACAAAATTTATGCATATACAACTATAGTTGTATATGCTTTAGTAAATACATTTACAAGTTACGTAAGTTAATATAGTAAATATATTTACAAGTTACGTAAATCGATCTTTAGGTTTAAAACAATCATTAACTATATTTACACTTTACAAATACCTAGAAAAATTCTTAAAGATCTTGGGGCCCTAATGACAGGTTGCTGTCTTTTTTTTATGCGTGAGTGTGAGGGGGAAGGGCTGGGTGGGTCTAATCCACTAGCCATCGTATTGCTTCCAACATACGTATAAACGTGTTTTTTTTTTTATTATCAATGAAGTAAAGGTTCCAGATGTTTGTCACTTCATATTTTATTTTAAGTTTTTTGACCGGACTGAAAATGCAGTCATGCGAAACAATCACGGTAACTGTAATTTTAATTGTCATGTTGACTTGAGCTATTTTTAAGTGTTTGTAGGGGTGAGTGGGTGTGAGTGATTGTGGATCTGAAGATTCCTTTAAATACCCTTAAGTAAAACTAGATAGACTTAACTTATTGTATTTTGTTTCTTATTTAATATTAATTACTCAACTATAAATATAAAACAGCAAAAAATAATAATTTCGCATTAACCTTTTTGTACTAATAAACACAGCTGTGAAATTTACGATGAAGAGAAAGTCAAATTGTAACCACGAAAGAGTAAATGAAAATGAGCGATTCAAAATTAAACTAGATGAAAATTTTTTTGAAAAGTTTTATGTTGCTCCAATCGATAAATTTTCTGGATATGCTCCTTTATATAGGCAGCCTATAGAGTTTGGTCACTTTTCTCTAGACTCTAATCGCTGTTACCACAATAATGCAAAGCAGCTAAGATATTATAAACCTCCAAAAAGTGAAATCAAACTTAATTTTGATTTAAAGCTAGGTTACGATAATTGTATTTTACGAAATGAAGACAATAAAGAAGGTCTAGATAACTTGTTAAAATGGTTGCAGGATAACAAGAAACTCTTTAGTAATGGCAAAGAAATTGCAAAAAATAATAGGTATGTTAAAATGTTTTAATTATTTTGTCAATTTGTTCTATTTTATATCTGTAAGGTATTAGAATAATATAATTTTATTTTTTAACATTTATAATTAAAATTCATTTTATATTTGGTTTAATAATACTACATTTTTTAAAATTTAATTTTATCTAGTTATTATAAGTAAATATTTTTTGGTTAAAATACTGTTTGCTAAAAAATAAATATTCTTTATCCTGAGCAACACACTTTTTATAACTTAAGATGATTACTACAACATTAATGTCATATTTAATATTTCATTGTCTAACTTGATTATGAAGTAAAAGATAATACAAATCTAGCCTTTAAATTTTTAATGAATTACAGGTCTAAACTGAATCCTTGATAGAGTATTTTTAAAGATTTGTAATAATCTTGTCTACTCAAATATAACAACAGTATTCCATACTAGGAATAGGAATAAGAGATTTATTAGGTTAGAAAATAAAATCAGGAGGTAAACATGATAAAGACTTTAGCAAATATTAACTTTGCAAAAAAAACCAAAAGAGGTTAAAAAAATTTTTTTTTGTATGATAATATGTGAAAAATATAGGAATAAATTATTTTATTCCTATATTTTTCACATATTATCATACAAAATAATATTCCTATATTCTCAATACTTGTATCTCTCGTTATATTAACAAGAAATTACCTTATATTTTCTCGTTAATAACAGTCTCAACAAGATTTAATCCCTAATTTTTATTATGATATTAATTTTACTTTATATTTTTAATTAATTTGCAGCCAACAATGCTATAAGCAACCACTACTTAAGTTGGGAGTTTTTTTTAATTCTGATTCACTCTTAACAAGGCTGCAAGCAACCATTACTTTAATTAGGAAAGAAACCACTCTAGTTACTGAAAACAAAAAAGAGACTAAAAAAAGCAGTTGAAAAACAACTTTAAAAAATGTAACTTTTGTGAATCAGGAAATCTCATAGACATGAGGAAATTTTAAACTTCCTATGTTTAAAGAAAAAAAATAGATAAATTTTTTTGTTTAAAAACCAAATAAAGTGAAAGGATGCAATTTTGCTGAATAACAAGTCACACAAGAATTAGTTGTAGTTAATGGAACAAAAGCTTGCAGTTACTATGTTAGTATTTGTAGAAAAGAGAAAGAGATATTTATAAAAACTATTTACAACTATAGGAGAAATGCTAAAGCTCGGCAGTTAGGGAAAATTAAATTAAATTTGCAATACATTTTCACAAGCTAAAACCACAGATGCCATTGTCTAGCAAGTAGAAAAATACAATTCATTTGAACACTTTTTAAATAGTTTTTAGAGGTAGAAAAAAAAAATCAGGAAAATACTTTTACAAGACTGTTATAAAAGACTGTTATACAAGTCTGTTATAAATTTATTAAAATATTATTAAAATGTTATATACAATTAATAATATGTTATGACATATTTCTCCTTCTGCTTCTTTTCTCTTTTTTACCTAAAAAGTTTACCATTTATTTATTTCATTAATGTATACAAAAAATGGAAAGAATAAGTGAGCATTATTGTTGTTGTGTGCTATTTTTTCAAAAGTATTTTTAAGTATCATAGTAGTTGATTTATAAGACTTGCATTATAATTCTTTTTTTAAAAATAATTTTCTGCTTTTATTTTCTGATTCAAGAATAAATCAGCTCCTCAATTCCTGATCCTTTAAAAACTTTGAGTTCTCAAGCTTGTCTGCATCTGGTCTTTTTTATCTTTTTGAATTAAATTTTTTTTCAGTTGAACTTTACAATCTTGTTGTTGGGCCTAATCTGCAACCAATTTCTCCTGTTTCCTAATTTTTAAATATTCATTTTCCAGATTTTTTAGTAAACTTTTTATTTATTTAAAAATCTTTTTAATTGATACTTAGTAGTATCTTTTTAATGGCCATCTTTTGGCCATTAAAATTTTTCAAGTTTCTGGCCTTAACTATAATACAGTCATATTTACTTTCAATTGTACACCCAAGGCAGGCGGAAGTAGGTGTCAAGTAAGGGAGTTGTCTTATGAGCTTTGCCAATAAAAAAAATAGCGAATCCAATTTTCCAACTGAAGGTACAAAAGATCCCAATTTGCTGACTAACTGTGAAAATATTTATTGTAAATATTCATCTGCCCCTCCTTCTCCCCTTCTCCCCCTCCTCCCCCACACACATACACACAAACAAACACACCTCCCTTTGCACCTGCCTTGTGTATACCTTTAAAGATTTTAAGGGAGACAACCAAGCATTGTTATTATTTTGGGGAAAAAATTAGCTATGTGCTATAGATCCTCTCTATTCCTTTTGAATACACCCTTATTTATAAAAAAAGATGAAGTTTAAAGTTTAGCTACGATTTGCTAAATTACTTTATAGAAGTTTTTTCTCATCTAAAAAATCTAGTTTAAAAATAAATGTTGTAAAACAATATGTTATGGACTAATAGTTATAATCCATTGTTAGTTGCTTTAGTTTATTGTCAAATATTGAAAATTTTCAACTCATTTCAAGATATTTATAATAAAATATTTATAAAATAAAGCAATGATAGCATGTGTTTTACTTAAATATATAGTACAAATAAATAAATGTATAAATATATAGTACAAATAAACACCCCTGAATAATTATAGAGGAAGGTTTAATTTTTTATTGAACCTCTTTTAATATTGGCTGTTTATGACGGTTTTTAAGAAAAAGAGCATGTAGGTCTGATAACTTTTGCAAGAGATGATTCATCAGGTAAAAAATTTCGAAAACCTCAAATATTTTCAGATCAGAAATAATTTGGTGGTAACAAAATAATTAGATAGTAATGATAAGAACATTTTAATGGTAACCATGTTTTGTTATGTTAAACATTTTTTGGTATTATAGCCATTTTTTAAATAATTATAAGAGCTTGGTTCTATTATAATTAGTGCATAGCACATATTATCATAGGCAGGAAACAATGTAACAAAATCTAAATCTAATATATATAAGACAATGTAAAAAGTCTAAATCCATGCAAGTCTATTAGATGAAAAAGTAGTACATGAAATTTGGTCAACAAAAATTTGCATCTTCTCAATCGTTACTTACCAAGAGTTCCAAGGTTGAGGGGATTTTATGCCAGTGTTAACATCTCCTCTATTTTGCTTAGAATAGAAAGTTCTACAAGCAACAGATCATGTGGCAGGTTGTACATGTTATCAGCAGCAAGATTATGATAATCTTTATCTTGACCTAAGTTTTAGTTTTATGTATAAAGTTGGTTATTAAATATAAAATTATTATTTTATTAACTATTTGATTGGGTTCAGTTAGTCAAAGTAATATCTAACACAATCATATAATATAACACAATTGTGTTATATATAATATTTAACACAAGCATACAATATATTTAAAAAATCACAATAATAATTACAATATTAAAAAACACTAAAAATTTATTACTTTTAAGTATTTTTATAGTACTATATATATTTTATAGTATTACAAAACAGAAAGTTGATACACTACGAATTACGACGCTTTTCAGTATAGTGTAATAACTTTCTGATGTTGATGATGTTGATCAGTATAGTGTAATAACTTTCTGATGTTGATGATGTTGATCAGTTTAGTGTAATAACTTTCTGATGTTGATGATGTTGATCAGTATAGTGTAATAACTTTCCGATGTTGATGATGTTGATCAGTATAGTGTAATAACTTTCTGATGTTGATGATGTTGATCAGTATAGTGTAATAACTTTCTGATGTTGATGATGTTGATCAGTATAGTGTAATAACTTTCTGATGTTGATGATGTTGATCAGTATAGTGTAATAACTTTCTGATGTTGATGATGTTGATCAGTATAGTGTAATAACTTTCTGATGTTGATGATGTTGATCAGTATAGTGTAATAACTTTTTGATGTTGATGATGTTGATCAGTATAGTGTAATAACTTTCTGATGTTGATGATTTTGATCAGTATAGTGTAATAACTTTCTGATGTTGATGATGTTGATCAGTATAGTGTAATAATTTAATAATGATGATGATCATGATTATAATCTGATGATCGTGATCATGATGATTATGATGACTTTTTTATAAACTTCTTTTTTCTAGTTTAAATACAGATTTTGTGACATGGAGAGGTCACTTAACTAAAATTCTTTGTGCTCCTTATGAAAATAATGAACCTTGGAAAATGGCTGCTACACTATTTAATGGCACAATTTACATTAGTGAAGTTGAAACAGAAAAGGCAAAGTTTGATCGTTCAAACCGGTCTCCAAAGCATCAGGAAATGTGTTATTGGGGATATAAATTTGAAAGTTATCTAACTGAGTCAATGCAAGGTAAATCATACAAAATTAAGTCTATGGGTTTTCTTTTTTTTCTTTTTAATTTTTCTTGTTTTCATATTTGTAATTTTAAAGCTTTAAATATGGTAATGCATAAATTATAAGTTTAATGCATAAGTTATAAATTTATACTTAACATTATAAAAGATTGTTTGATACATCAAATAGTCATTCTTGACTGCGACATATTACTTTATAAGTGATGTAATTTTATAACCTTTTCATATTTAAGTATCTTGTCTCTAAAAAAAAGTTTTAAAAGTTTGAAATTTTCTTAAAATTGGAAAATGTAATTTATATTTTGTATATGATGCATATTAAACACAAAATAGTGAAATAAAATGCAGTACTTGCTCTGGACATAGAACGATATTAGATGCTCTGCACATAGAGGTAGATCCTCTGCACATAGAGCGGTTTATTATTATTATTATTATTTAAAAAAAAAAAAAAAGAGCTAGTAGTAGAAAGTTTAACTATAAATAACTAATAATTATGACTAATAATTTCTTAAGAGTTTCTTAAGTTCCAATTAATTTATAATACACCTTTTTCTTTTACAATCGAATAGAGTTCTATTTAATGGTGCATGCAAATACTCATTTAAACTGTTGTTCTCGACTGAAGATAATGTTGTAAATAACTGTTGTTCTCCATTTTGTCAATGTAATATGTAGGTGAAAAATTAAGAAATGTTTTAATATTTTTTAATTTTTATTTAAATTTAAATCATCTTAATTTCTTAAATAAAACTATAAATAAATCATTATCATAACTTATAATAAAATTATTGAAAAGTTAAATAAAAGTTTTTGAAGATTATGGAGCTTCTAATAAGAATTTCTTATAAAGTGGTTTCTTATAAAATAAATGTGTATCAAACAATTTGTGGAAGTGATACATTTCCTCTAAAATTTTATTTAACTAGATAAATTGACAATTTATCTGTAAGACTATTAGATATTTATGATAAAGTTCAAACTACCTAATTATTTGTAAACATTGTTATACTAAGAACTAGAAAAGCTAATGAGATTTCTTGTGCAGAACTTTATTTAAAAAGATGTATTAGAGGCAGCATAATCTATTAAAAGGCTAATAAAAATAGACCTTTATCCTGGTTCAAAAACAAGTAAAAACCTGTTACTTGGAATTCCATTATTCTTTCTAGTTAAAGTTTAGTTTCCATTCAGTAAACAGTTCTAAAATTTTTATTTAAACCATGTATTTAGTGCTTAGTAAATTCAGTGCATAGCGAGAAAGTAAAGATAACTTCATCAAAATCAGCAGAGAGAAGTTTAAGACAAGCAGATGAAATTTATTTTGGATTATTTTAATTATAAATTGGATACATGACTCACCAAATTACTGGCAGTAAGTTACCATCAAACTTTAGCAGTCAATTTTTATACAGTTTGTTCTATAATATTTGTCAAGTAAAGTTAAATGTAAAAGATGCAGCTAGACTAACAATACAGGAAGTTTTAGTTTTTGGCAAAAAACAAGAATAAAAACAAAACACTTAAAAGACTGTGTTGCAAAGCCGGAAAAACTTCATAAGGAATGAGAAAGCTGCAAAAAATGCAAATAGAACTAGTGTTGCTCCAACTGAAAAGGAAGAAGCTTTTAAGCTACACTTGATAATCTATTTGACATTGCTCGTCAAAATGTACTTAAACCTGCAGCTGAGGATGATGCATTATTTTTACTCAAACAAAGAGAAAAGCCCAGGTTGCATTTGAGTAATTGGTTTTAAGTTCTTAAAAGATGAAGAGCGTCGGCAAAAAAAACATGCTTCTGAAATGATGAGAGCAGCAAAATCTAAGTAAAGTGTAGTTAAGTTATTTAAATCTATAATTATTTATTCTTATAAAAAAAGATTATAATTACTATATTATAATTATTCATTTTGTTTACTTCATTTATTTTTTTAATTTTTTCTTTCTTTAGTTTATGTTTATACAGGCGCTGTTCTAGACCGTTTTCGACAACTTCAACTGTATTTGGGCACCACCCAAATTAAAATTTAAGGACCTTTTTTTTTTTACGTTTTATAAGGCAAACATTGTTTTTTTATTTTGCAAAAAAATGAAGATTTTCTGCTAAATTTCTCTGGGAAGGGGAGGGGTACTGCTGCCAAAATTTTTTTCCTAGAATAGGCCTGATAAAGATATAATAAATAAAATTAAAAAAAAATGAATTTTCAATTAAAATAAGCAATGGTTTTCCATCAATTAATGAGACTTCAAAATAATATGGCCTGCATTATTTTATTGATATAATATATTCCTTAGATATGAACTTTCAGAATTAGCTCAGTAATAATAACACACAATAAAATAGATGCTATAATGGTGATGGAAACGTGGTTTTATGCCGAATCAGTGTCAAACCTGGATGGTTATAATATTTTTAGAAAGGACAATTAACGGACATGGAATTAATACACGAAAAGATCTTGTAACCTTTGAAATTAAATCTATTGAACTATGTTATCCAGATATAGAACAAATATGGTGTGGACTTAAATATAAATTTGAAAAAATAATAATTGGTTGTGCCTACAGACCTCCTAACTCAGCAAACAATTTAAACTTTTGTAAATCTATTCTAGCGGCTAACTGTGTTTACGATAATAGTGCTTTTTCAAGTTTTTTTGTTAATCGGAGACTTTAATTATCCAAATATAGAATGGGTTGATGATATCTTCTTTGGTTCATGTTCAGAACTTAATACTTCAGAATTTCATTTCACAGAAACTATAAACGACTGCTTTTTGTCACAAAATATATTTTTTCAATTATATTTTTTTGGAACTACTTGATAAGCGCCAATAATATCAATAAAAAATTTATTTTAAGTTATATATATAAAAAAGAAAAAAAAATATTAAATTATAAAATATTTTAATTCAATTAATTAGAAAGCAGTATTTGGGGCTAGAAATATCAATCAGTGTTATGACAAATTTTTAGAATTATATATGGTGGCCTGTAACAAGTTTATCCCTTGTTCTAAAAAAAACCTCGACAAGCTTGGATTACATCTGATGTAATAAACTAATTAATGAAAAAAAATATATATGGTCTAAGTTTGTTGCATCAAGCAGAAATAATCTCGAATTATTAGCAAAATCTAAATTTATTAAAACTTTATTATAAGTTTAGATTTTGCTAAATTCAATAGATTTTGCTGACTCGACAGTCTATTGAATTAGCTTTGAAACAATTTGAACATGACTTAGCTAAAAGTTCTCAATCAGATCCTAAAAGATTTTGTTCATACATGAACAGCAAACATAAGTATAAAGAAGGAATTGGCACTTTAAGGTTTCCAGATGAATCTGTGAGTGATAACCTTTTAGATTTTTTACAAATTTGTTAAACACGTTTTCAATCTGTATTTACTGAAGACGGCAACAAAGCCTTACCGAGTTTTGATCCTGTTACTAGACTGATATCCCTATATCAGTCGATGTTTGTAAATAATAAACATAAATGTAACTTTCAATATACAACAATAATAACTTTCAATAAAAAAATTGTTAAAAAACATTTGAAAATATTTTTCAGAATGTAGGACTCAATCCCAGAACTTTGTGAGTAATAAACAATTGAGATACCCCAATGCTACATAGCATTGGGGTATCTCAATTGTTTATTACTCACAAAGTTCTGGGATTGAGTCCTACATTCTGAAAAATATTTTCAAATTTTTTTTAACAATTTTTTTATTGAAAGTTATTATTGTTGTATATTGAAAGTTACATTTATGTTTATTACTTACAAACATAGACTGATATGTAGCATTGGGGTATCTCAATTGTTTATTATTCACAGAGTTCTGGGATTGAGTCCTACATTACACACAAATTATAATTGCAATTCTTTTTAAACTTGTACAAATAAAACTTTCAAAATCAACAATCATATTCGCAACCCTGACTTGAACTAAACCAATCAAACTTTACTACCGTAACTTTAAGATAAAAAACTAAAGCAATGGTACTGCTGCGCTAGACAAAACGAATATATTTACATATATTATATTGCGTAATATATGTAAAATTAACAAAATAGTTTTACGTCTTGTATTTGAATTAAAAACATAAGTATTTAATTTAATTTAAACATAAGTATTTAATTTAACATAAAAAAACATTTAATTTAACATAAAAAAACATAAGTATTTAATTTAAAACCTCACCTAAAGACAAAGCTGAATTGTTTGCTTAGAACTTTTCATCAATATCATCTCTTGATTCCACTAGTTGCGTTTTACCTGACATAGTAGTCAAACAGTAATTTCCTGCTTAGACTCTTCAACAGCTTGTGGTCCTGACAACATTCCTGTTGTAGTCTTGCAGAGGTGTTCTCCGGAGCTTTCATCCATACTTTCTAAACTATTTAACAAGTGCTTATCAGAGTCTTGTTTTCCATCATGCTGGAAAGCAGCATCTGTTATTCCTATTTTCAAAAATTCCGGAGAGCGATCTGATTCATCTAACTACCGTCCCATTAGTCTTCTTCCTGTCATAAGCAAGGTTTTTGAATCTTTAATCAACAAACACTTAATCTCTCATCTTCATCAAATAACTTACTTTCTGATCATCAATATGGATTTCGGTCTTCTCGTTCTACAGCTGATGTGCTAACAGTAATAACCAATAGGTTTTACCGTGCATTAGATAGAGGTGGAGAGGTTAAGGCTATCGCACTTGACATTTCTAAAGCTTTTGATAAAGTTTGGCATGCTGGTCTTCTCCATAAGCTTTCTTCTTATGGTGTAGCTGGTAACGTCTTTAAGATTATTGAGTCCTTTCTTTCCAATCGTAGTATAAAAGTTGTCCTCGATGGACAACACTCTTCTTCACATCCTGTAACTTCAGGGGTTCCTCAAGGTTCAATCCTTGGCCCTATACTCTTTTTAATTTACATTAACGATCTTCCAGATATTCTCACATCTAAGGTGGCATTATTCGCTGACGACACTACCATTTACTTTTGTCATGATAAGAAGCCTACACTCTCTGATTGCTTGGAGGGGGTATCTGAGCTTGAAAAGGATCTCACTTCTGCTACAGCATGGGGCTCACAGTGGCTGGTGAACTTTAATTCAGATAAAACTCAATTTTATTCGGCCAATCGTTATCGTAATAATTTAGATCTTCCTATATTTATGAATGGTAATGTACTAGATGAGTCATCTACCATTCATCTTCTAGGATTAACTCTTACTTCTGATCTTTCTTTTAAACCGTATATCAAATCCATTGCAAAATTAGCATCTGCTAAGGTTGCATCTCTTTATCGAGCTCGACACTTTCTTACTCCAGATTCTATTCTCTATCTCTATAAATCTCAAATCCGTCCCTGTATGGAATACTGTTGCCACATCTGGGGCGGATCTTCTAATGATGCTCTTTCTCTTTTAGACAAGGTGCAAAAACGAATTGTAAACATAGTTGGACCTGCTCTGGCAGCCAATCTCCAACCTTTGTCACATCGTCGTAATGTTGCTTCTCTTTCTCTTTTCTACAAATACTATAATGGGCACTGCTCTAAAGAGCTAGCCTCCCTTGTGCCATCTACTAAAATTCATTCTCGTGTTACTCGCCATTCAATTAAGTCTCATCCTTTTTCTGTGACTGTTCCTAAGTGCTTCAAAAACTCTTATTCTTCTAGTTTTTTTCCTCGAACATCAGTTCTTTGGAATTCGCTTCCTTCATCTTGCTTTCCTGATTCATATAATTTGCAATCTTTTAAGTCATCAGTCAATCGTTATCTTGCTCTACAGATTTAGTCTTTTCTCTTCCAGTAACTTCCAACTCTTATAGTGGTTGTTTGCAGCCTTGTTGGAAGTGAAGATGTTAAAAAAAAAAAAAAAAAAAAAAAAAAAGTATTTAATAAACAAATTTGATAAGCATTTAATAAACCTATTTATTAAACTGTTTGAATATATAAACATAAGCATTTAATAAACTTATTTACTATTATTTTAATTTTGAAAATTTTGATTTAAATATTAGCAAATCTGTTCTTACTAAAGGTTAATAATTTTTAAAGTGATTTTAAGGCGTCTTTTAAATTAAAGATAATTAAAGAAGAGATTACGGTAAACATAATTTTGATAATGTTATACTTTTTTGATTAAAAAGCATATAATATTTTAAAAAACATGTATTTAAAAAAATATATTTTTTTAATCATTAACTATAATAAATAAATTTCATTTACTCTGGGTTATTTTAAACAGGTTTTAATAAAACTTTTATTAAGTTATTGAAAATTTATTTTTATTTTTTAAAAGTCAAAAAGAATATCGAAAAGAAACAAAACATTCTGCAAAAGTTTACTCTTTGTTTTTTCGTTTTCCTCGCATAAATTAAAATAGCGAGCTAATGATCAAAATTTCATTCAATCAAAAATTAAGCTTATGTGGTAGTTACGACAGTTAGTAACCGAAGGCCAATTATGTCATGTAGTTATGTAATAAGGTTTTTACATTTTCTTTTTAATTCATTTTAATGTCCTGAAGAAAAAATGAGCTAAAATAAACTGAAATTATTATTTATATACTTCTGCATTAAAAACTGATTTTTTTTTTTCTATATTTCATTAAAAAAAGCATAAGAAAAATTCTTCCGGATATACTAAAAAATAAATCCAAGCTCTATGCTGATGATTGCAAATTTTTCCACATAATCCGTGATAACTGTAGTAATGATCTACAGGATGACATAAATTCTATTTTTAATTGGCGCAATGACTGGAATATGCAACTAAATATAGAAAATTGTAAAATAATGCATGTCAATAAAAGTAATAAATAAAATAAAAATATCAATAAATATTACATTTCTGATTATCAATTAAGTTTTGTGGATTGTGTAAACGATCTTGTATCATGTTTAAAAGTGATCTGAAATAATGTCATCATATATCTGCTTGTGTTTTTAAAGCAAATAGAATTCTAGGTCTTATCCAACACACGTTTCATTTTTAAATGCTGATATACTTAAATTGTTATATGTTTTGCTAGTATGCCCTCATCTAGAATATGTGTTTTCTTTTTTGGAATCCATTTTTAAAAAAAGACATTAATCTTATTGAAGGAGTACAACAGAGCAACAAGACTAATTCCAGGATATTCAGAGCTTCTTTATGAGGAAAGATTAAATAGACTTAATTTAACAACTTTATCTATGAGAAGAGAAAGAAAGGATCTAAATAATTTTTTAAATGTCTTAATAATTCTTATCAACTAAATACAGTATCTTCCCAAAGGAATTTTTGTCGACCAACTGGACCAGCTGGAAGTGTTTTTGAGTATATCCACAATCATAGATATACTTCTGAGACCTGTAGACACTCGAGTAGAAGAAATTTTTTTTTCAATCGTATTATTCCAATTTAGAACAATTTGCTGTTTGATGTCGAATTTAATAAGTCAGTGTTAAAATTTAAAAAAAGTCTTGATGAATTTATGTGAAATAAAATTTCAAATTGTAGTTTTTAAACTTGCTGCTAAAGTGGATTACCACTCAGTGAGCATTTTCTCACCGCAGCAATCAAATAAAATAAAAAGAATAAAAAAATATTACATAAATGAATTAAAATTTTTATTTTATATTAATTTTATGTTTTTTCCTTATTTACATTTTTATGCTAAACATAAATTTTTTATTTCTAGAGCAACAGGACTTAAATCCTGTTGTGAATACAAATGAAGCATTTTGCTCTGTTGTACGGACACGATTAAATAAAAATTCAATTATTTGTGGAGCTGAAGTGGATTGCTGTATTAAAGAAGACAAATCTAAATCACCTTCAAATTATATAGAGTTAAAAACAACCCGAATTATGAACAATTACCGACAAAATGAAAATTTTGCAAGATATAAACTTTTGAAGTTTTGGGCGCAAAGTTTTCTGGCAGGTATACCAAAAATAGTTGTAGGAATGCGTGATGATGAAGGCATTGTAAAAGAAATAAAAAGTTTTAACACTTTATCAATACCTGGAATTTGCAAAGAATATTCAAAAAAGTGGGATGCAAATGTAGCTTTAAATTTTCTTGATGGCATTTTAAATTGGTTAAAAAAGGTTGTTGTAATTGATAATCCTAATGTTGTATATATGATAGAATTTGCAGAACCATTCAGTTATGTATCTTTACAAGTTTTTAAAGAAGGCTCTGAAAGTTTTTTGCCTGATTGGTATACATCAAATGCAGTCGGGTAAAAAAATTTATGTTTTAAGTACTTATAATGATATGATAATAAATCTCTATATAGACAGATATATTATAATAAATATTATTTATATATGAATCATTTCTTCCCTAATTGTCAGTCAATTCTTTGGAAATTGTGTAACTGTCAGTCAATGCTTTGGCAATTGTGTAACTGTGAGTCAATCCTTTAGTAATTTTGAAGTTAATAATGTATGAAAAATGATAATTGTGACTATGCTCCCTCTATCACCCCTCTCCCTACTTCAGTATAATTTTATTAGTGATGCTTCATGCATATCTAGGTGCACAATAGCATGTAAAAAAGTCAGGTAAACAATATTAATTAAAATTAAACAAAAAAATATTTTTATAATTGATAAACATTTCTAGCTAATTATTAAAATAGAAAAAGTTTTCTAAACGTTTATTATATGTAGAAATTTTTTATTTTTAATTTTTACATTAGTTGGTTCTTGAATATATACCTTTTTGTATAGATCCATTTAAAAACCACATAAATTTTCAGAAATAAAGACATAAAAATGCCCATACTTATGAGTATCTTTATGTCGTTATATCTGCAATTCTATAATTTGTATCTAGTTTCTTTGTTCCATTTTCAGCACTTTAAAAAAACTATTTGCAAAAATAGTCAGCATCTTTTTCAAGTTTTTTTTTTTTAATTTTTTTTTATGTTAATTCACTTACCCAAGGCTAAGAAGGCCACTACAGTTAAGGAGGCTACTATAGTTGTAGTTACTACCCTCTCTCAACTGTATAACTCCAAAACACTAACCTTGATAAACAAGGCCGCTACACCGAGAAAAAAGTTGATTGCAGTACTACTAGGGACGTGGTGGTGATCAAACTCGGAAATTCTGGCTTATGCTTATAGAAGTTTGATTTGCAAAATTATTACACGATATACATGATGCTAAGTTCTAATGCTAAGTTCTAAGTTCTATTGACACTAAGTTGTTACTTGTTTTTTTCATTATTTAAGTTTCATCCAAGTTTTTGTTTAAACAGTAAAATTTTTTTTAAGATTATGTTTTTTGCAATTTTTTTTTGTATATATATATATTTTCACATTCTTTAAGCTATATTATTATTATGTAGTATTTTACAGAATTAAGAAAAAAAATTCAAAAATAATTGTTTAAATTGAACTCCAACAAATAAGAAAAAATTAATAGCATCGACTATTATGTTTCGGCTTTGACTATAGTGGTCTTTAGAAAGGTGAACATTGAAAATATATTTTCAATTAATTATACAATATATTGTTATACAACTTAAATTTTATAGTGAAAATCAATATAAGTAAAGTTAAAAAGTTTTTAAATTTAATGTAATAAAATGTTTGGATATTTTTTAAAGGTTTAAAATTTTTATTATATATACTAAATATGATATATATTGTATAAAACGATGATATAATTATACTGAATGATGTTCTGATATGTAATTCTCTGAAATATTTAATAATAGTTGACATATTTTCAGGTTCACAATATATTAATAAGTGTTTTCTGAAACAAAAACTATAAAATCTTGATTATGGCACTTAGTGTTGCTGTAGTTGGAAAAGATAATGAGCCACTATATGTTCATACAAGTTCTCCTGACACTGACCTTAAATTTCATTATATAATTCACACATGCTTAGATGTCATTGAAGAAAAAACCTCTTCGCTCACTAAATCTACACAGGATCCTCGAGAATTATATCTTGGTTTACTATACCCAACTGAAGACTACAAAGTTTATGGGTATGTTACTAACACAAAAATTAAGTTCGTTATTGTTGTAGACTCTGGAAATGCAACACTACGTGATAATGACATTCGAATGATGTTTAGAAAAGTTCATTCAGCTTATGTTGCAATGGTTTCAAATCCATTTTACAATCATGGTGATCCAATTAAGTCTACGATGTTTCAAAAAGCAGTGGATACACTTATGGTTACGGATGGACCATAATATTTCGATAGTGAGATCTGTTTCTAAATTGATATTTATAATTTACATATGTTTTTTAAATTCATAGATATATGACAATCGTGTTGTAGTTGAATATTTATTGGATATATTTTCGTTTTTTATTTTGAATTTTTTAATATACTTCTAATAGAAACATCACTTTCTATTAAAATTGTTTTTATTTTGTTGAAACTATTTTATTTCAGTAAAATAGTTGACAATTTTTTGATTTAATTTATGTGGCTTTTGCTTTACTTAAATATATTCTACAGGTATATATATATTTTATTTTACTTAAATATATTCTACAGGTATATATACAATATATATATATATATATATATATATATATATATATATATATATACATATATATATATATATATATATATATATATATATATATATATATATATATATATATATATATATATATATATATATATATATATATATATATATATATATATATATATATATATATATATATATATATATTATTAAGAATTTGAAATTAAAATGGTACAAAGCAATAATGTTGCAAAGGGTTTGTGGATAAGTGTAATGTTTTTGTGTTTCGGAATTTTGGTTTTTTATTTTATTGGAATGCACGTTTGGATCCCAGACTTAAACAATGATATCTTTAAAAGTGATCATCTATTTATTCCGGCATTAAATTCTGTTATACTATACGTATACATTCCGATAGCCGCTTACTGCTTTATTGCGAGCGAATTGACTGGAAACTATAGCCAAGTGGATAAAATATGGCCTCTTGCTCCCATTTTGTTTTCCTGGTTTCTTACATTTTTCATTTGTTTTAGTGAAAAAAAAGACACCTGTGATTTGAAACCTTTTATAATAAGTGGCCTCATGACTTTATGGGCATTGCGACTTATGCATCAGTTTTATCTGAAAGGTGGGTATAACTTTCCCAGAATTTGGGAAGGAGAAGAAGATTATCGATGGAAATATGTAAGAAAAATGCCTATGCTTACCAACAATAGACTGTTATTATTATTTTTTAACTTATTTTTTATAACTATTTACCAGTTAACTTTATTATTTTTAATATCTGGAGGTGTTGTTCTTGGAGTTATAATGCTAAGTTATCGGCAAAATAAACATCAAAGTCTTCGTCTAATTGATTATTTCATTTCTTTTTTTTTGTTATTGTTTATATTTATTGAAGCAGTTGCAGATAGACAACAACGACGTTTTCAAATTGAGAAGTTTCGCAGGATACAAAGTGGAGAAAAGTTAACTGGTTCGGATGAGCATTACGAGTTAGGTTTTAAAACGACAGAATTATTTTCATATTCTCGCCACCCAAATTTTACTTGTGAGCAAATTATTTGGGTTTTATTCTATTGTTTTACTATTGACTTTGAAACAATTAATTTAGTCAGTGTTGGTGGTTTGTTCAATTTTTCTATTGTTGGTTGTATATTGTTGATCCTGCTGTTTTTGAAATCAACTGATTTGACTGAAGACATATCTTCGAGTAAGTACCCTGCTTACATCAAATATCAAAACAACGTAGCTCGAATTGTTGATCTCAAGCTCGTTGCGAAAAAAATATTCTTCGGAAAAAATCCAGATAGAAACTGGATTAACTAAGTCGAGAGTCATATTTATGTTTGTATTATAATTAATATTTCCTAGTTAAACTTAAGTTTTTATGGTTTTGTTTAAGCTTTTATTAAATTTTTATGTATGAAACTTTCTGTTTTTTTTCTGACTTTAAAATATTATTGTTGAAAACATTCATTACCATTCAAACTTTAATTTTTTGTAAGCTTTTTAATAAACTTGATTTTTAATTAAATAAAATGTTTTGTCTTTTATCGATACATAGGTTCGGTTTGTGGATATCTTATATACAAATGATATATGTAGATACTCAACGACGCTAGGCATGGTGCTTACTAAGTAACGGGTCATGACACATGAAGTACAGAGAAAAAAAGTTGAAAAAATGTTGTGTTTATTGAGTTATTTATCATAAAAGTAAAAGAAAGAGAAAGAAGAGAAAAGCAAAAACACTTTGAATAATATGTATTCTGAATTCAAATTTGGATGTGTCAAACAACACGGTAGACTGTAAACTACTTTGGCCCTCAAATTTGATGATAAAAAAATCTGATGAATGAGTAGAAGCTGAAAAAAAATTACGTTATTAACTTATAAAAATAACAAAAAAAACAAACACAGCCTATTGAAATAGTGTCTTGATGTTATGAAAACATACAATAAAATATAATTGTATTTTGCTAATACATCATGGCCGACGACACGGGTTTCGAAGTGGAGGGGCAATTTTATCGTCCAAGTCCTCTATATCTGGAAGAAAAAAAAGGTCCTTTTGAAAGTGCGGGCGCACGTGTCCCCCGGTGTTGTCGGCTCTGTACATAAAACAAATATATTTCAAAAATATTTTTTTCGAAATTGTTTTTACAAATTCTAATGTACTAAATTTAAATTCATCGACAGGTTTTAAATTTTATTCAAAAATCTTGTAATGTTCAAAAGTTATGATCATTCAAAATTTTTCTGATACATGGAACAAATACCTTTGAAAAAATAATTTAAATAGAAATAAAATGATTTAAATAAAAATATTAATAATTTTAATAGTCACGCAAACACTTCGCGTTGGAAGGTTTTTAGTCAAAAAGTAACGCCTGGTAGTTTCTTCTTGCTATTTCTTTAATTACTAAATTTTTATGGTCAATATTTAAACAACCTCCCAAAATGAGATGGTTGTAGTTTTTTCATGGTCATACCTTTTGATCTGACTTAATTAATGACGGAATATCAGGGTATTTTAGCTTCGATCTATTGATAATTTTCTTTTATCTTGATATATCACAACTATGGATGAAGCAGCCTATGGTGTAGCTCATATTTATTTCCTGATCACCGAATCGGATCCGAAAGTATTCAAATATACAATCCATAACTTATGGATATATGATATGAAGATAATATATGAATATGAAACTATGAGCTGCACTACAGAATGGTACATCTATGGTTAATATATCAATGTATATATCTTCGTTCCACGCAATAGCTATTGCTTTGGCTGTGTTGGCCCAATATAAAAACACTTAATGTAACAAAACAAGTCGCTAGATTTATGATTTTAAGATAATGCTATAACAGTGTTTAAAAAATTCCGAGCAGAAAATACCAAACATTATATAACACAAATTGATGATATAAAATAACACAAATAACACAGTTTGATAATATAAAAAAGCCGTGCCAAAAAAAAATATATATTAAATGCGAATAATATATTTAATGCGTGTTAAAAGCAATATCAGTGAAACAGATAAATCGTATAAGGTGTAATAAATGTAAAAAAGTATAATAAATCAAAAATCTCATAGATCTCAAAAATTTCAACAACAACAAAAAAAAAAAAATGACGCGAGACACTAGGGGCCATCCATAAAGGACGTCACCATTTTTTAGCCGATTTTTGACCTCTTCCCCCCCCCCACCTTTGTCACTGGTTGTCCTTTTTTCCTATACCCCCTTGAAAAGGACGTCATAAAATCCTGAACTCCCCCCCCCCCCTATTTTTAACAAAAAAAAAAATTATTTCATCTCGCAATGATGTTTGAATCTGCAGCTACACCTTTGAAAAATAAAATTAAAAATATTCTCATACATTATTTTCTTAAAAACACATGTTTACGTAGTTTTCCATGTTAATTAAACTAAAATAAAAAATCTATAAAGTGACGTCCTTTTCTGACAACCTCCCCCTCCCCTTGTCCTTTTTTGTCCTTTTTAACTCGACCCCCTCCCCCTCCCTATTTGGATGACGTCCTTTATGGATGGTTCCCTAGACAAAAACTAAATATATCTAAGACATCTATACAATAGACAAAAACTAAATATAGGCAGAATAAGATTTACTAAATAACGCTTTAAAAGAACAACTAATTTTTACTGTGTAGCGATGTTAAATAGACCTCGTTTAAATTCAAATAAATACTAGATTTTTGGGTGTTCCCCTTTCTTTTACAATTCATGTTTAAAAAGAATCAAGTGTCCTGATAAAATATTTGGAGCAAGGTGAAGTTTTTCATGCAATAGTAAACAGCCTCAGCAGTCAGTATCACCCTTTTTCGAGTGAGAATATGTGTAAAAAATGTAGTTTTTTTAAGGGTAGGAGATTTTCAGATCATTAGGCCCGTTTCAGCCTTGCGAGAAATAAGATAAATAATCGCCTAAAACTATTTTTTCATGACAGTGTTACTAACACTGTTAGTAATAAATGTACTATTTCACATTTGGATATTGGTTAAGAGAAATATTTAGGCTATATCGAGAGTTTGGTATACTTATTTGCATTTAAACTGTTTGGTGCTTATAGTTTATTTTAAATTGGTTTACCCTGATTTCTCTGGTTTAAAGGTAATCTGCTAGCATTTTAATTGTTTTAATTGTTTTTTATTTAGTCTTTTTATATTATTTTAATTAATAATAACTGTCCATTAATCGAGCTTATACTTATCGGTGCCCATATTTTGGGATGCGTTTGGTATATTTGAAATGGTTTTAAGGTGTTTTCAAAGTATTTATTTTTTTGAGTAATATATTGATTGATATATTGAAGAAAACTGTCGGACTTTACCCCTTTAAAGTCTTCAAAAATGTTTTTTTTTTTGTTTATCAGGTCCAAAATTTCTTTTACTTTTTAACCTTCATTAATGAATAGCTAGAGCAATAGTGAATATTGCAGTAAGCAGCTTTCATACATTTCATATAACATACAATAACAATTTGTAAGCATTTATATGATACAATTATTTTTTTGCCCAGCCCTGCTATACCAAAACCATTACACTGAAAGATTGTACATATGGAGAAACCTTGTGCTTTTTGAATTGTATTACTTTTTTATCTACAGGTAACTGCCCTCTAATTGTCATCGCTGTTCTTACAGTTTGTATGTTTGTTTGAAAAGCTCTTGTGAAAGAGGAAAACTATTAAACATCAATCTATCAGGAAATAAATTAAACCTTATACCTTGCAATATAAATGTTACAAGACAATATTTGCAACAGTGAATGATTGTGCTGCAACTGCTGGAGTAATCTTGCATTACCTTTGTTTATTCTTTGTTCAAAGTAGACACGCTATCATTATTTTTATCCTGTTCAATATCATTTTCTGACCATGATACCTCTGATACTTTAGTCTCAGATTCACTAGAACAGTATTTATTTCATTTGATGCCTTCAAAACATTTTCAGTTGTGGAGTCTTTTCTGGCCTTTATAAATAAATTTTGATTAGTTTTAATAAATTAAAAAATACTACTGTAAATCACCAAGTTGAAAACACTCTTTTGTTTATATTTTAATACATAAATTTACTATATAACTTTAGTATATATTTTTTACTAAATAACTTTTGTTTCTGATGGGATATGGTACTTTTGACGAAATCAAATTCTTTCATGAACTTAAAGCACGACAGTTATTTATATATAAAATATCATATAGTTCCTTGAATAAGGAAATTGTTTCTGCATATACATTTATATAGTGGATATCCCATAACATGGGACATTAAACCACAATGACAGTTTTGTGTTATTGTATTATCAAGGACATTATTCCTAATTAATGTCCTTAAGTTAAGTACTAAATTTATATTTTAGACTCATTTTTTACTTATAATTTTTATATCTCAAAAATTGTACCTCTTCTTGCTTATGTTGTTGCACTTGTGTTGCACTTTTATTCTTATTTACCATCAAATTTGGTAATATGGCCACAGTTTGACAGTTTTTTTTTAATAATTTGCTGAATTTAAGAATAATAAAATTGCTGATTTTATTTAAAATTACTTCTACAAAATGAATATGATATGTGAAAATCAGCCACACAACCCAAACCATCAGCTTTAACACAACCCAAACCTTATTAAAACTTTAAAAAGGTTTGAAACTCTCTAAAGGTATAAAATGTTAACCACAACTTATAATGAAAATTATTAAAAAAAAAAAAAAAAAAAATCAAAAAATGAAATAATTTGGCCACTGGCCACAAAAAAATCTAATTTAAATGACAAAACATTGCAATTCATGTTTCTGAAATTGAAGGAAGTTGCAAATCACAAAACTAGATCATCAAATAAAATAAAAAATAATAAATAAGAGCTATAAATTTGTAAACATCATTCAAGAATTACAAAGATGTACAAGAAATACAAGAAGTACAAGAAATACAAGATGCACATTTGAAAACCAGCCATACAGCTTTAAAACTTTAACCAAAGTTTATTAATGAAAACCATTTTTGAAAAATCCAAACATGGTGTAGTTAGGCCACTTAACAAAAATTATTATTTATAGAATTAAAGGAAATATGTTTCAAATCATAAAACTAGATTATTAAAATAAATTTTAAATACAAATACAAAGAAAAAAAAAAAAATGCAAAAATTCCTAACAAATTGCTATGACTTTGAAATCTTTATGATATTATCTGGATACTTTGTGGCCTGTAAATCATTTTCTTGGAGCCAGAGTTTTTGCTGAGATTATCGTTATTATAGTTCATTACATTAGAAAGAGATTGTCTTTGATCAGGATGAGCAAATAATTAAAAAAAAAAAGAAAAGAATCTGTTCTTCACTTACAATTGCACGGCTCCTTAAAATCAGTTTTCTGTAAAATTCTGTATAATGAAACTTGCTCCATCTTTGTAACTTTAGTAGTTTTTAGCAAAAAACTGATAAATATGCTAAACTAGTCATCTATCCCATGTGACAGTATATATTAATGGTAAAGTGTTTTCATATATAATATGGTGAAGAGTATTTTATGTGCTTTATAATATATATATATATATATATATATATATATATATATATATATATATATATATATATATATATATATATATATATATATATATATATATATATATATATATATATATATATATATATATATATATATATATATATATATATATATATACTAAACTTGATTAAAACAATGAAATTTTAAAATATTAACAACAATTTCCAAAAAGAATTCAAATTAAACATTAATAATATAAAAGTCAAACCCAAATATTTTAATTTTTTTTGATAAAAGAAGCAACATACAACAAATTACCCTAGATAGTCATCATAAAATACTGCGCGATAATAGTTCTAATATTCAGGCAAAAACCACAAAAATTCACACTGAAATTACTCTTTATGGTGCTGTGAATAGTAAGATTGGGAGTTGATGTGAATCAGTTAGAAAGTGGTGGAGCACTCCACCACTTTTTTTAATGATGGTAAAGTTCATAAATGGTATAGAAAAATTCAAGATCTAGAAAAATAATTTTTCTTTAGTTATTATAATGATAATTTTTTTTAACTCATGAAGTATAAAGAAAAAATTGCCATTGAATCTTGTAATTTTTTTATTGATTGTGGGAATTTGTTATTAATGGCTTAGTCAATTCTTGTTGGCATAGAGAGGCGCTTCTTTTACCTTTTTTTTGTAATTATCCTTGTAATTCTTGTACCTACAATGTTTTCTGATATTTGGTGATAATAGGTTCTCCTGAGCTCAATAGTGCTGTTCTTAAAGATAGTTTGATTTATTCTAATAATGTGGGAGGCTGGGGAGGATGTTTAACAGAATTTGCAGATAGGTAAAATTTAAGTGCTTAGAGTTGCATGATCAAGTGGTTTATTAACTTATATATTTTTTTCTTTGTATCTTAAGACATTCAAGGGTGTAGAGGTGTAAGGGTATAGAGGCATCATTAGAAGATCCGCCCCAGATATGGCAACAGTATTCCATACCAGGCGGGATTTGAGATTTATAAAGATAGAGAGTAGAATCCAGAGTAAGAAAGTGTCAAGCTTGATAAAGAGATGCAACTTTAGCAGATGCTAATTTTGCAACGGAATTGATATATGGTTTCCAAGAAAGATCAGAAGTAAGATTCAATCCCAGAAGATGAAGGGTAGATGACTCATCAAGTACATTACCATTCATAAATATAGGAAGGTCTAAATTATTGTGATAATGATTATCACAATAATTTTTCTGTTTAAGACTTTAATTCAGAGTTTTTTCTGAATTAAAGTTAACCAGCCACTGTAAGCCCCATGCTGAGCAGAAGTGAAATTCTTTTCAAGTTCAAATGCCCCCTCCAAGCAACCAGAGGGAGTTGGTTTCTTATTATGACAAGAATAAATGGTAGTATCATCAGCCAACAATTCCACCTTAGATGTGAGAATATCTGGAAGATCGTTAATGTAAATTAAAAAGAGTATAGGGCCAAAGATTGAACCTTGAGGAACCCCTGAGGTTACAGAATAAGAATAAGAGTGCTGTCCATGGAGGACAACTTTTATGCTACAATTGGAAAGAAAGGATTCAATAATCTTAAAGATGTTTCCAGATACAAATTTTCAAAAATTTCTTATTTTACTAAGTACTCTTAACTGTGTAATAGATCAGTTCGGCTCATTGGCCTTAACATCAATTTAGTTAAAGATTTTTGAAAAAGTTCCTTAATTTGCTATTGATCCTAGTTCTAATTGGTTCTGACGTATATTAACTGTAGATAGTTGTCAAAACATAATATTTCTATCAATTTTCACAAAAAATATTAGAATTCCGATCAAGAAAGAGCTTTTAATTAAGAAAAATTGCCAATAAACAATTAGAACTGATCATATTGTTTAACTATGATGCTCATTTCACCTATAAAACATATTTATTTAAAATCCTTTTAAAATTTGGACTAGCGCTTGTGATTTTGAAAAAATTTAAAAAAAAAAAAAAAAAAGATTCTTCAGTCTGGGTCTTTTTGCTATAAACATTTATATTTTATGATACCGCAAAATTTATCATTTAATTTTTTTTTGTCTTTCAATGGAAATATGTCGTAGTCAACAAAATATCATACAGACGCTATTTTTATTTATTAGAGTCAACAAAATATCATATAGACGCTATTTAAAATTGCCTTAACTACATTGAGGGGTGTTTTGCCCGACACATAAAAAGGGTATTTTGCCCTCTTTACTAAATATTATGTTATGCTATTATATTTTATTGTTACAAGTAGTCTATATAGATTAGAAACAAAAGAAAAGTTGAAATTTTTAATTATATTGAGATTTTATTATTTTTGTAGATCTTTTTCTAGCCATGGGCAATTTTTTATTTATTACAAGTAATAAGAAAAGTAGTTTTTTATCCAATGTTTTCTCTTATAAGTAAGCGTTAATATTGAAAAAAAAATTAAGTAGGAAAAATATTTGTGTTTAATGTAGTTTTTTAAAGAAGAGAAAAAAGAAAGGGTACAGTACCCTACTTTTTAATTAAAATTATTTCTCTTTTGTTTGTCTTTTTTTTTTTTCTGCTTATAAAAATTTTGCTTGTTT